CTTCCATGCATTGATTGTAGTAGTTTTATCTACAAATTTTGACTCGAACCATCTTCTAAAATGTCCACTTGTTTGATGGGACTTCCATTTTTTGATGTATTGGTGGTCATTAATTTCTTTATTTTTACTACTACCTCTTTTTCTTTTTTATTTTCAATCCCTTCATTTATTATTTCTTCTATTTTCGTTTCTGGGATTTTATGACCTAGGGCTTTTTTAATTCTATTCCATATTCCTTTCTTGGAATACCATCTATCTAATATGTTATTTCCTATTTCACTTTCTCTTGTACAATAGTACATTACTGTTCTGATTAATTCAATAACATATTCGTCCCTTAGGCTTATTAATCCTTCACCCATTTCATTTATAGGGACATATAGACGGTCTTTGGAGTTACCGGCACCAATGTATTTTGCCTTTCTTAAATATTTTCTTATCTCCAAATCCATTCTATCTAGGTCAGTTACCTTCCAATTTACTACTGATGCTGAATATCTGAAGATGGGTATTACTTCAGTATTAATTCTTGTAATGTATCTTCTATTACTACTTTCATCAGTATTTATTTCTTCCATTTTCTTCATCATCTTTTCTTTGATGATTTTACAATTGAAGGTATCATTAATTTCATCGGACTGCCATACACCTAAATATTTATACAAGTCCTCTCCTTCAATTATTGGGATGTTTTGCATTCCATCTGGTATTTTATTAATGTTCTTTAATACCATTCCTGATTTATTTTCGTTCATTTCCATCCCTATTCCACATATTATTTCTTTAATTTCATTGTGGATTGTTCCCATTTCTTCACTACTTTGTGTCATTATTCTCAAATCATCCATATACAATGTATGGTTTGCTTTTGGGAACTTCTCTTCTATGATTTGAGAAATTATATTCATTTGGATGATGAAGAGTAGAGGGGATAAGGAATCACCTTGTAAAATTCCTCTCTTCAGTTTAATACATCCTAGATATTCATTATATTTATATCCTATGAATATCTTCCATCTGTTCATCATACTTTCTACAATGTCTATGATGACACCCTCTACATTAAAATATTTAAGTGCTTCTATTACCCATTCATGATTTACTGAGTCATATGCTTTCTTAATGTCATAATATGACTCTACATATTTTGGGTATTTTTCTTCTTTCTGCTGCTTTAACATATAACTGTTAATTAATCCTTCTTTAGCAGCAAGAGATTGCAGTTTACATCCCAATTGATTTTTACTAATTTTTAATGATTCACTATTCATGTTAATTCTATTGTGAATCTTCTCTTTCAATATGGAGGTAAATACTTTCATTATTACATTTGTACAACTGATAGGACGATAGTTAGTGACATCGTTCCTATCACCTCCTTTGTGGATTAGTATAGTTCTTCCACTTACCATGTCTAAAGGGATGTTTTCTGGGAAGTTTAACCAATCATTGAAGATATTAAGAATGGACTCTCTTGATGATGACATTCTCTTCCAATAATACCCATATATAGTGTCAATACCTGGTGCTTTCCAATTACTTATTTTCATCAGGCTTAGATTTAGCTCATCCATTGTGATGATGACACTATCATAATTTCTGTACCTTTCATTCCACGAGGTGATTTGTTTTATTTTCCAATGTTCCTTATTTAATATCACCTGTGTTTCATATAACGATTTCCAATATTCTAAAGTAATATCGTTATTTGGGTATATTTCATTTTGTGGGTCTTTCTTCTTTATTTTAATTTTCTTATTAGAATCAAACATGATTTTATTTGTATTGATTCTGACCCTTTCATTCTTATTAAATTTAATTCTTTCTTTAATCATCGTCATCATATATTTTAGGTACTTTATTCTTTCTTGTGCTTTCATTTTAATTTCATCTGCATCTTGTTCCTTCAATCTCATGATGCATTTTATTCTGTACCATTTCCTTCCCTTGACATTAAAATAAAAATAATAAATAATATGAAAAATAAAAGAAATGAATATTTGAAATAATTTGATAAATAAAATTGATTATATTCATATCATTTATAATTTATTATGTTTCATTTTATTATATTATTTATTATATTTATATATTATTTTTCATATTATTGTTTATTATTCATTATTTCATTTGATTTATTATATAATTCTTTCATTTCTTATTACTTTAAAAACAATTTATTTGTTATTTTATTATTTATATTTATTTTTCATTTCTTATATAAACTATTCTACTTATTTTATTTCTTATTTCTCTTATTGTTATATATTTCTTTATTTATTATTATTCATTTCATTTAATTCTTTCTTCTTGTTATTCATTTTCTTATATTTCTTTTCTTCTTTTTCTATTTCTAATTCTTTTATTCTTTTATTATTATATCTATTTCTACAGCACAAGGATACCACGAAAATCAAATAGAAATAATTATATACAAACAAATAGATTTAGAAGACATTATCATTGTTATAACTATAATCATTGTCAACAAAATAATAACCATAATCACTTTAATAATAATTATCATAATTATAAATACCATAGTACATTTCAAATAATCACATTTATAATAAAAAAGTAATTTATAACACAAATCATAATACAGATAAAATGTTTAATCAATACTATCATGAGAATAAACAAAGTAAAAAATATAGAAACAAAAAATATCACAAGAAAAGACAATGAAGGAGAGACAAAAGAAAAAGAAAATAAGAAAATAGTCCAAGAATGGATGAAGAGATTTGAAGAAATAGAAAAGATAATGAAAGAGAAACTAAGTAAGAAAAAAGAAGAATAAGAAGAAATACCCATGGAAATTGAAGAAAAGAAAGAAGAAATAATAAAAGAAGTAATAAAAGAAGTAATAAAAGAATAAGAAAGAAATAATGAAGAAGAGATAAAGAAATAATGAAGAAAAAATGAACAATCAGAAATAGAAGAAAAGAAGATAAAAAGTTAATAATGTTATTGATTAAATATAATAAATATTAAAATGAAAATTAGATATTACAGAAATTAAAGAGATAATAGAAGAAAGAAGAATAAAGATAAATAAAGAAGAAGAATATATAGAAATGATTAAAAGAACAAGATGAATAGATGAAAGAAACAAGAAAAAGATAATATAAATAACAATAAATATATGAACAAATACATCAATTCAATAAACTAAGAGAAATAATGATAATCAATATGAAAGATGAAATAAATAATAATAAAAAGAAATAATACAATAAAATAAAGAAAAATAAATAAATAAAATAACATATATTATTTATTATTC